AGTATAAATAATAATCCACACAGGTATCTATTATTATTATTTATAAAATAAATCACAAGATAACAGAATTAATAAGGGAACTAAAAATTAGTTATCAAACTAATTCTAACTAACTAACAGAAAATTAAACTGAACTAAAGAAAAAACTAAAATCTGAACAAAAGGAATTTCAGTCTTTTATATATATAATTAAAGTTATAATAGATTATGCTATAAATTACACTAATATATACACTATTAATTATGCTAATGTATATATTATTAACTATACTTTCTATTATATTATCTATTATACTATACATTACACTATTGAATATACTATTGATTACACTATACATTATACTATTAAATATGTTCAGATCTACAGTTGTAATACTTAATAGTTATACCAATTTCTAAATAATTTATATTAATAGTTTTCTATATAATATATATTAATAAAATATAAAATTAAGTTAATAAAATATAAATAAACTAATAATTAATAAATTTGAGACAAGACCTCGCTAGAACAAAAAAAAATATATATATATATAAATAAACTAATTTTTTTTTGTTCTAACGAGATCTTGCCTCAAATTTATTAATTAGAAAAAAAGAAAATTTTTTACATTACATAAGATTACATAATACAAAATACACAACTTATTCTAATGTTTATTTGAAAAGATGAGACTTGAACTAACTCATAAGAGACGGGCCCACAACCTACCACCTGAATATAAATAAATTAATAAATACATGATAATAAAATAATAATATAATAAATAAGATAAAAATATGATAATAAATAAAATTTAACTATTAGGATTAACACTAAGTTTAATTATTTAAATATTTTTTATTCAAATGAAGGTATTGATTTTAAATCTAAAAATCATTGTGTTTGGTGCTTAGTACATATAATTAATCTTACAACACAAGATACTTTAAAATCTTTAAAAAGAATAAATCCAGAAAATGAAGAAGATGTATTATTAGTAAAGATGGTATTCGCAATTATGAATTGAGAATTATGATATTACTACCTATATCATAATTATTAAGAATTTTAATGATAAAAAATCTATAATTCCACAATTCGTAATTATTTGCAATTCTTCAATTATTTTGTAATTCTTCAATTATTCTATAATTATTTTGTAATTTCACAATTATTCTATAATTTTACAATTATATTGCAAGTCTGCAATTATTCTGCAAGTCTGGAGAAGAGTATCACACTAAGATAGGGAGAAAAAGGAAAGAGAGAACAAAAGAAAGGGAAAAGAGAGGGAGAGAAAAGGAAAAGAGAGAAAGAAAGGGAAGAGAGAGAGAAAAAAAGAAAGGAGAGAGAGAGAAGAAAAAGATTTCTAATTGTATATCTATAAAGTTGATTTCAATGATTTTGACTTTTACAGATGTTCCTACAAACCAGTAAAAGGTGGGGAGAAGAAAGGTAAAAGAAAAAACAAGGTAAGTATAAGATTTTATTTTTTAATAAAAAAATAAAAAAAAAAAATTCACCTTTAATTATATATTTGCGAAGCTGATTTTGATAATTTTGACTTTCACAGGTGTTCTTATGAACTAGTTAAAGGTAAAGGAAAAAAAGGTAAAAGCAAGGACAATATAAGTATAAGGTTTTATTTTTTTTTTAAAAAAAAAAGAAGAAAAAAAAAACTCACTTTTAATTATACATTTGTGAAGTTAATTTTGATGATTTTGACTTTTACAGGTGTTTTCATGAACCAATGAAAGTTGAGGAGAAGAAAAGTAAAGGCAAGAACAAAATATGTATAAGGTTTTATTATTTTTTTTTTTTAAAAAAAAAAAAAAACTCACCTTTAATCATATATAATTTTAATGATTTTGATTTTCATAAGTATTCACACAAGTTAGCAAAAGGCAAAGAGAAGAAGGATAAAAGCAAGAACAAGGTAAGTTTATTGTTTTAAAAAAAAAAAAAGATAAATATAGATTTTTTTTTTAACAAAAAAAAATTTTAATTATCAAGTTATACAAACTTGTAGAATAATTGAGAAATTGTAAAATGATTGAAAAATTATAGAATGATTAAGGAATTATAAAATGATTAAGAAATTGTAAAACAATTGAGGAATTATAAAATGATTGAGGAATTGTGGAACAATTGCAAAATTGCAAAACAATTGTAGAATTGCAAAACAATAGATTAATTGAGGATATATGAATTTTTATTACAATTCCATCTAAAAAATCTGTAATATTGAGGATTTGAAAAAATAATAGAGGATATCATTTTTAATTATTAGATTTATTAATAAAAATTCTTTAGGTATTATAGAAAAATTAAGAAAATTAGTAATTAAAATATAAACTTCTTCATAGCAGCATGATAAACTTAGTCAACAATGTAAAGTATTAAATATTAAAGATCTTCAATTAATTCCTGATGTGAAAACAAAGTGAAACTCAGCATATAATATGATTAAAAGAATATTAATTTTTTAAGAGGTAAAAATATTTTATCAAATTTTTATATATTTATATTTTTATATAAATATTAGTTTGTTTTTTATTAGCCTCTTCATAATACAACATTTGCTGATCAGAATTTATTATTATATTTGTTACAAGAAAATGAATGGAATCAGTTAGAAGAAATAAAAAAATTATTAAAGATATAATTTATTTAATATAATAATTTTGAATTATATTTTAAATTACAATATTATTTTATTTTTATAATAATATTTCAAAATTGTGATTTTAGAAATAAGTACAGCAAAGCTTTTAACTCTTAACCAAATTATTCCTATTTATGATTATTTATTTGAAACTATCATAGAATTTCAAAAAAAAATAATTTTTCTTTTAATATTAATAAGACTATCAATTTTGCTTTATATAATTGTAACAAATATAATTTTTTTTTTTATAATTTTACAACTTTTATTAAAATTTTAATTAATTAATTTATATTTATACAGTTTTGAATTCTAAATTAAAATTAACATATTATAAATAAAATAATACTGATAACAAATATATTAAAAGTTATAAACAAAAAATAACTAATTTATAAAATGAAAAATATAAACCTATTGACAATAAAGAAATAGATGAATCCTCATTTAAACTTAATACTTTATCTGTTTATATTTTTAAAAAAAGAAAAATTATATATACTGATGAATTAAGTTTATATTTAAAAGATATTCTAATGTATTGGAAGATAATGGTTTAAAAATCAGAATTGAATATTAATATTGAAATTTTATTATATTATATTATTTTAATTTTTAATTCATATAGCTTCATAAGACTGAATATTCTAATCTTAAAAAAATAACTTATGATTTTTTATCGATTTCTAATATATTTTTTAATATTTATTAAATTAATTTATTATAAATTATTTTTTTAAATTTATTTTATTTTAAACAGGAACAAGTGTTCTAGTTGAAAGAATATTTTCAGGTGGTACTAATTTAATTATACAAAGAAGAAATAGTTTAAAATCTGATACAATAAGAATATGTATGTATTTAAAATAGTGGTTAAAATTAGAAAGAAATATATATAAAAATATATAAATTTTTATAATATTTTGAAAAATATTATTATTTTTTTTAACCTTTTAAGAATTATTCTGTAATAGTTTTATATTATAATTTATTATAATAGTTAAACAAAACTTTGACAGAAAAAAATTTTTTGAATTATTTTGAACTGGTGCAAACCAGTTCAATTCAATATTTTTAAATTTTAATTTCAAATCAAAACCAATTTTTAAATTTTGATTTAGTTCCAGTTCAATATTAGAATTGACACTGGTAAAAAATTGATAAATAATACACATATCAGATATTTGATATGTGTATTATTTATTAATTTTTAACCAGTGTGAACCAAACTGTTATATTAGAAGCTTTATCAGATAAACAATATTTTAATAAGGATTTAATTTAGAATTATTGATTTGTATTTATAATATGTTAAAGATTTGATTTTTTTTAAGACAAGTACTAAATTTCTATATTTGTTATTAAAGACTTGTAAATTTGTTTTAAAAATAAATAAAATTTCATCTAATTTTTTAATTAAATATTTCAATTTATATTTTTGAAATTATTCTAAATATACATATTATTATTTATTAATTTTTGAATTTTGTTTTTTTTTATTGTTATAAGTAAATTGTTTTTATTTTTTTTATCTTTTTTTTTAATTTTGTTAGGTATATGTATTTTGTTTTAATTTAGAATTTTTGTTAATTTAAAAAAAAAAAATTTTTTTTGTAATATGATTATTTACTAACTATTATTTATTTATATTGTATTCAAAATTTCTATAAGGTCATATTTCTATAGTAGTACTTTCAAGTTTTTTAATGAAATTTAAAACTTTTAATTTATCTAATACTTCTTTGATACTTTCTCATTTATCTTAATTTATGAACTTGAAATTTATTGATTTTTCTGTTGTTTAAATATAGTAATACTTTTTTGATTAATTATATTTTCATCATTCAAAATTATCTTATATAATATATTTATTTATAAAAATATTAATTGTATTTATAAATATTAAAAATATTAAGATATAAAAATAATTTAAAAAATTTAAATCTTAATTTTAATTAACCATTACTTGTATTACAGAAAATTAAATAATATAATATAATAACATTCAAATAAGATTAATTAATTAAATAAATTAAACTAAAAAATAAAATAAATAAATTAAAATGTTTGAAAAATGTGAAAATCAACAAATTTATATTAAATAATGAAAGAAAAATTTGAACAAAACACTTACACAGCATTTTATAGATAATAATTAAAAATTATACAAAAAATTAATTAAATAATTAAAATAGTTAGAATAAATAAAAATAATTTAAATAATTAAATAATTTAAAACAATTTAAAACAATTTAAAATAACTTAAAAAAGATAATACAAGAATTGAAAATAAAAATACATTGTAAAAAAATCCATTTTTGTTTGAATGTTTATTTTATTAACTACCAATATTCAGACATTTTCAGACTTCAACAGACTTCCAGCCCCATTAAAGTCACCTACAGCCATCTAAGATATTTTAAAAATATTTTTAGATATGTTATATATGTTAGACAGACAGATAGACATTTAAGCAGACAAAATTGTTAATTTTGGAATGATCTCATTTTAAAAATAATCAATAATGATAATATTATGGAATTGATGATATTGTTGTTATTTTATGTGCGTGTTACCATTAAGAAATTAAGAATAATCCTGATTAACAATTAAGGTAATCATTTATTCATATTGAATCAATTACTCAATTAAAATTATTCTAATTATCTTTTATTCTTTGAATCAATTATTGAAACCAATTATACAATTATATCGAAACCAATTGTAATGAGTTCGATTATTCAATTATATTGAATCGTTTTATTGATTGGAGGAAAAGAAAAAGAACAATTAAAAATATTTAAAATAATAAAATAATAAATATATAATAAGCAATTTAATAAAAGTAAAAAAAAAAAAGGATCTGTCATATGGTATTAACCTCGCGTACACACAATCGTATACAAATCAACAACAACAACAGCAGTACAAACTATACAGACTATAACAAACAGACTATAACAAACTAAATCATGAAGGATTGTACAAACTTGTACAAACCGTATAAACCGTATACAAACTGTCTGAAATAAACTTGTACAAACTGTATAAACAGCAAACTATAATTACACACTAGACAACCTAAGCAAAAACTGCATTACATCAAATTAATAAAATAAATAAATAAATAAAATCGATAAAACATAATAAGATATAATAAGGTATTAAAGAGAGAGATAATAATAAGATATACAAATATAATAAATTATACAAAAAAAATTTTTTTTTATATGTAAATGTATGTACGGCACATTTTTTTTCTATGAAAAGAATAATATCATATTCTTTGAATGTAAAAAACTATGCAGGGGTTGACGCGTATTTCTGCGAGTGGCTGCGATTACGTTGGTTAATCTCATCATAATTTTTATTTTAGTGTGTGCATTACTATTGTTATGGTATAGTTTGATATTTTTACAAGCGAGTTTATATTCTGTCATGTTAAATGGTCATGAGAAAAAAATGTCTGTGAGATTATAAGAATGTAATGAAAAAAAAAAATAGAAAGAGAAATCTGAATATTATTATTGCTTGTTCCTTATTGCTTGTTGTTGGTTGGCGTTTGATACTGATATTTGAGTTAAAATTTTAGTTGAATTGTAATTGATTGCATTTGATATATTAAAAAGTAATTGATAAAGAAGGTGATGGTGAATTGGTCTTTCATTTGTTTGGAAACTGTGAAAAAAAACCTTTTGTGGCGATAGATCTGCCTACCCATGTAATAATAATAATATTATTATTTTAGGATTATAATAATAATTATAATAATTAATAAAATAATAATTAATAAAATAATAATTAATAAAATAATAATAATTAATATAATAATAATCAATATAATAATTAATATAATAATAATATTTAATATATGATATTAATATATAATAATAATATATATTTAATATTATATAATAATTTAAAACTTAATAATAAATATATTAATATTAATATAATATAATAATATAATAAATAATAAATAATAAACAATAATAAATAATAATTACAAGTAAGAATTGAATGCATTTGTATCTAATTGTAGAGAAAATTAAATTGATCTCCGTTTACATTAATTTATTTTACAACATTATAAATTTCAAATTTTTTTCTTTGTATTACTTTGTCAATGCTTTTGTGATATCTGATACTGCTCTGTGATGATTTTGGTAACTACTCCGATTTAAAATAATTTTTAATTATTGGAAAAAAATAGATTCAGATTTTTACGATCTTTATAGATTGTACACACTAAAACCAATTATCTAGTAAATCTTAATTAATCTAATTAAAATTATTCAAGTTTTTTCCTGGTGATACGATTTTTATTAGAACTAACTACTAAACTCAATCAAATCATTTTTGAATTATCTTGTGTTCATTTTGTCACTTACCAAATCACTTTTTCTACCTTTTCTATCAATTTCGGGTTTCAAATAATCACCCCATTTTTCATTATTATTTTCTAAAATTCCAGACGAACATTCTAAATATACATTCTAAAATAAACATAAATTCTAAATAATTCTAAATATTCTAAATTGACTATTTTCTCTCAAATTTACACACACCACACCAATAATCTACTTCATAAATACTATATATACTATATATATACTTGAATACGTTATAAATTTTGACACTTTGATATACTTTGATATACTTGATATATTTTTTGATATATCTAATTTATCTACTTCCCCTATATTTATCCTCTATTTATCCAATATTTATCCTACATTTTCCTCATCACCCCTCATCTCATCTCCTCCTTCCACCTACCTTTCTCATTTACCTCCTCATCATCCAATGTATTCAATGTATTCAATGTATCAATGCACTCCGACATGTTACAATATACTAGATATACTTCTGTGATTTATACTTTTGGTTATACTTCTGATTATACTTCTGATTATACTTCTCTGATGACACGTATAATATACTCTTAATTAATAATAACACTTAATAATAAATATGAAACATAATAAAATATTTTTACAATCACACAACAAATCAAGCTAAAATCGTGTTTTTGGATTCCAATTTGTTTATTCCAATCCGCCAAACATCATAAAAAGCATCATAAAAGCATCATGCACAGTAGATAATACATATGATCATATTATATTGTTATTATATATATTTATTCAATTTATTTATTATAAACAGATATTTTTGTATTTGTATTTTGTATTTTATTATTATTATTATTATTATTATTATTATTATTATTTATTACTTGGTTTAAATAGGTCAGTCTTTTTAATAACTAAAATTTTTTTCTTTCTTCCTTTTTTTTTCCCCACACAGTAGGGACCCTTTTTTTTTTTCTATTCAAAAGTCCCGAAAAAAAATATATATATATAAAAATTTTTACGCTTTTTTTTTTTATACTTGTTCCTTTTTTTTTTTTTCTTACTATAATAATATTATTATTATATAATATATATATATAATAGATAGACATATATATATATATAGATAAAATAAAATTTAAATATAATCTTTGGATTTTTGCTTCATGAAAATAAAAGACATTCTCTCCTCCTCAATATATTCTATATATTTAAAATATATTTCAATATATATTAAAAAAATATATTATTTTATACCTTTTTAAGACTAATATCTGGTTTGCTGAAAAACATAAAAAGACATAAAAAGTCTTAAGAAATCTGAAAAAAAAAAATCGTTCTTCATTAAAAAAACAAATATATACTTTTGTTCCTTTTTTTTTTTCTCTAACAATCTTCAATTCCATTTTCAAATTATATTTTCAATTATATAATTATTCAATTACATATCTACTGTTCTATATTTTTATCTTCTTTGTAAAGGAAAAAGAAAGAAAGAAAGACAAAAAAAAAAAGAACTCAGCCAAGAATTAATTAAAAAAAAAATTCAGCTTTAATTATTCAAATTCCTTTAAACTTTTTTTCTTTTTTTAAAATTTCTCGGTGTTATATATATATATACACATATATATATACACATACAAAAAAGTAATCATTTCTTCTTTTAATACCTATACATATATATACTACAATGCCATTATTACGTAAGATAAAAAATATTCTCTGTTGTACCTCAAACAAGTATTTACTTGACGACGACGACGACGATGACACTGCGTCAATCCTTGAACATAGTTCCAACCAAGAAAATAATAATAATAATAATAATAATCAACTTGAAATATCGGAAAAACCATTATTAAGTGAATTTGATAATACGATAGATACTACGAATAGACCATATCAACCTGTCATTGTGAAATCCGTTTTAAGAAAACGGAATGCTTCCGTATCCAGTCCAGCAAAGGGTAATGTACCAAGAAGAAGATATAACGTATTATTATTTGGGGATAGTTTAACTGCTGGTAGGTTTCATTTTTATATCTATTTTTTTTCCCATTTTATTTTATTTTATTGGAGCGTATAGTTAGATATATAGTTTTAAGATAATAATAATAGTTTAAGGGTAATAGTTAGTTAAATAATAATTTTTAATAGATATAATAGATAATAGATAGATATAGTAGAGACAATGATAATAGATAATAGATAGTTGGTTCCAATTAGTAGTTGTTGAATGAAAGATGGCGTGTGAGAAAATAATGTATATATTTAATGTCTTATTATTTCTGGTTTTTTTTTTTTTTTTTTCCTGGATTGATTGATATCATTGTGCGTGTAGTTGATAATTGGTTAATTGAGTTGTGGAGTGTGGAAAAAGGGAAACAATTTGAGTAATACGTTGTTTATATGCGTGAGTGTGTGCGTGCGGGGTTGGGCGTGGGCTTCGGGATGCATTTTTAGAATTTTTTAGGTGATGATTTATTATCAGCATGCAAAGTCGCATGATAATAGTGTGATAATATTATGATAAGTGCAGAAATGTGTGATTATTATATTATTTTAAAGTTATGGAAACGTTTTGAATAGTTTATTTATAGTTATTTATAGTTACATATAGTTACATATAGTTACATATAGTTATGGTTATTTATGGGGGATGAAATAGTATGAAATAATTTGGAAGACATTATATTTGATTGGGTTCTTTTTTCGATTCGAGTCTGATAATGCACATGAGGATTTACTCGTTTCGATTTACATATGATTATGTAAATCCCTGACTTTTATAATCGTAATGGAACCCTGGGATTTATCGTTCAAATTATTTTCTATTTAAACAGGATGGGTTAAGAATGCTGACGGTTACGGAACTTATCATCCTTATGGTTTGAGAGTTCAAAAAAGGTTCGAAGACGAAGGATTAGATGTAGAGGTATGAAATATTTTTTTAAATTTTTTTTCTTTAATGGATGAATTATTTTCTTTATTTTATTTTTTTTATTCTTATTAGAAAGAAATAATAATAATTATTTTTTTCTTTTTTCGAATGAATTAAAACAATTTATTAAATTTTCTTTTCCTTCACTCGAATGAATTAACATTTTTCTTTTGAATGAATTATAAATAAAAATAATTTTTTTTTTAATTTTTCCCCTTTACAATGATTACACATTCATTCATTCATTAATAATTCATCCATTACTCGATCGAATGCTTGTTTTATTAAGACTTTATCTTTTTTTTTTTTAATTGCGAATATAGGTGACTGTTAGTGGTGTTCCCGGAGAATGTGCCGTTACTTCAATGGAAGAACGATTAAAGAATGAACTCGAACAACCGGGTAAATGGTATGACTGGGTTGTCATTCTAGGAGGTAGTTTTCGAATCTCTTTTTTTTTTTATTTATTATCATTAAATTTGTTTCACTTTCGCTTTTTCATTTAATAATATTTTCATTTTTATTTTAAATTTAATTAATTAGGTACAAATGATGTAATTAATGGATATGCGGCCTGGGATATCTTTGATGGATTAAAAAAATTATACACTCTATGTTCCAAACATGGTGCAAGAATTTTGGGGATAACTATTCCAGAATTTGATTGGGTAATTATTATAATCTATTTATTCAATTAGCAAACAAACGAACAATAAATATTAAATTATTTTATTATTTTTAGGAGGAGGTTAATCATTTTGATTATCAACGTCGCATAGTAAATGAACATCTAAAGTAAGTCTCATGGTTAACCAATTCATTCGAACATATTCTTCCTATATATATATATATATGTATATTAACATCATTCTTCTTTTTTATTTAATAATTTAGCGTGTATAATAATAACACCACGAGGAATGCGTACACTCTATTTCTTCTAGACAAATTTTTCCCTATGCATTCGTTAACGACGGAACAACGTAGAATTTTTTGGGATATTGATGGTGTTCATCCTACAGAGGATGGTTATGACCTAATGGGGGATATGGTATGATGTTTTATTTGATTTTGATTTTTTTTTAAAAAAAAAAAATTTGATGGGCCATTAATTAACCAATAAAATTTTTACCATTTTATTTTTTAACCTAATAATCAATATAATAGTTATTCGATATACTTTATAAAGAAGGATCATGGGATTAATTAGATTTCTTCTAAAGCATTTTATTACAGTAATTAGATTCTTTTCATTTTTATTGTTCAACATAGAATTTTTTTAGATAATCTTCCATTTTAAATCATTTTTATATTAAAAAAAATTATAATAATGTGAACTTGATAATAATTTGTTCCTTTTATTTATTATCAAGTTTAACTCCTCATTATTTTTTTTATTCATCCCCTCCATCCCAAAAATTTTTACCAATTCATAATAATAATTCATTCCTCCCTTTAAAAAAAAATAATGATTTGATTTGATATCAAATCCAAGGGAGTTCCCTTTCCCTCTTCCTCCTCCACCTCCTCCTCCTCTCTCGTGGGAAGGAATTTTTTGATTTTCACAACAGAAAAAAAAATAGATTTCTTTGGTTTCATTTTCATATTTATTAGCAGCTGTGCATAGTATTTATTCTTTTTTTTTTAATAATGGTTGTGGTAATCAAAGACGAATGAAAAAAATTTGTTTATTTTTTATCCTTTTAATTTACAGCACCAAAAAGTTTCATTAATATATACACAAGAATTTTCGACAGAATATTATTATTCATATAGTACATTTTATCTTTTTTTTTGATAAACGAAAAGAAAAATCAAGATAACGGAGGGTTCGAAGAACCTTCCTTTCTCTTATTTATTCTTTTCGGTATATCAAAACCAAGTTCAAAAAAATATATCCATATATATATACATAATACTTCATTATATACATTTCTTTTTTTTAGACTTATGAGGCATACAAAAAATTTATATACACATATATGTCCTTATTATTAATTTTTTCATTCAACCCTTTTTATATCATCATCATCATTATTATTTTTCTCTGTGTCTATTTTAATTATTTGTTCTTGTCCTTTTTTTTTTGTATTTTTAATGACCTTTAAAAAAAATAATCCTTTATTCACATTCTAGAAAAAAAAATTGTTAATTAAAAAAAAAAACTTGTACATTTTTCTTTCGAAATTTTTAATGATTTTTATCTCCTTGTAAATATACAAATATATTCTGTCATTTTTTTTCAAAAAAATAATAATAATAACGTCAAACAGAAAAAAATTATTTTTTTTATTTACCACCATTTGTGAATTTTTATTAGGTGAAAAAAAAATTTTCGTATAGAGATATGTACTGACCTTGAAGTTTGTACAACATAACTGTTCTCTCTAAAAGGCCTTTTACGAATATCAGAAAACTCTTTTAATATACAACAGAATCTTAATATATTTTTTTTTTTTAAAAAAAAAAACCTTACCAAATCAGATCACGATGAACAAATAATTTCCAGAGTTTTTTGTGGAGATGATGAAAAAAAAGGGAAGATTTGGAAAATAATGGGAAAAAAAAGGGAATCAAAGATGAAAACTAGAAGTTTTCAAGTTCTTTTATGGACTTCCAAATTTGTTTTAGTTCAAGTTCATATTTAGAAAAAGCTCTTTTGAGGGGGGTGAAAGGACATATGTGTATTTTGGGAAGGATGCCCGATGTATGCTCTCATAAGCACAACAAAAACGAAAAATATAAGCGCCCACAAAAAAAAATGAATATCATCTTATATACATTTAGCAAAAGGCATCACCCTTTTTTTTTTCTTTCTTGTATATAGTTTTTGTATTTATATCTTTACTCTTTTTTTTTTTGTACACAATTACATACACATAGATTCTTTCTCGTTTTTGTTGTTTGTTTTTTTCTTCAATATATCAAGCGATTTTATTTTTTTCGAAATTTCTTATTTCGCGGTTTTTTTTTTGAATAATATTTCGTTATTTATTCAATTTCTTTATTATCATCGTTGTTCCCCTCGCGTTTTTATTTATTATTATTTTAGTTATATAATTTTTACGCGTCCTTTTGAAAAAAAAAATAATAATACTTTTCTTATGTACCTTGAGAAAAAGTATTTTTAATTATATAACATAATTATGTTTAGTTTAATACCCAAATTACTATAAAAACTACCACCCACTTTCTAAGTTTTTTTTATAAGATTTTAAAGAAAAAAACGCGTATTCGATATTTTTGTTTCTGTTCTATTCACTTTTTTTTTTAAAAAAAAAAATAATATTATCCTCCAATATTCTTTTATTTTCTTTACTTAGCTCTTTTGAAAGAAAAAACCAATTTCATTAGCTCTTTTTTTTATTCACAAAAAAGAAAATATCGATACGCGCAATTTCTTTTTTTTATATCCTCAAATAATAATTTAGGTTATATACACGACAAACATTTAATTCATATTTTTTAAATTTCGCATATTTTTTATCGATTTACTTCGTGATATTCTATCTCTCTCTACATGAACAGGTCACTGGTTCTTTTTATGACCTTCATTTTTTTTTAAATGATTAATTCAATAACATAGTATCTCTTACTTTTTTTTTTTTTTTTTTGAAAAAAAAAAAAAAAAATTCCTGGCAAATTGTAAAAATCTGAATAATAATTTTTTTATAGAATTTAGCCTTTTTTTTTTTTATTTACATGAAATTTATATATTTTTATTTTTTATTTTTTAATCGTCCAGGCAAAAGCGGTTAAAAAAAAAAAGTAATAATAGTAAATTTTAAGTTCATTTTAATTTATTTATTTATTTTCGCTTTATTTATTTTCGTCATCTATAAGAATGACGTATCCGTTTACGTGTAATTTTTTTGGCAAACAATTTGAATCTTCGTTTTATTTAAATAAAAAAACAAAAAAAAAACAAAACAAAACAAATCAAGTGTCTCTTTATTTTAAGTGCAAGTTGAAAAAATATGCCTAATGTAATACGTATGCTATTGTGTAATGCTATGTTATGTTGGTTAGATACGTTACAATGTGTAATATCAATATGTTATGGATACGTTATAAAATGGATTAATACGTTTTGTTATAAATATGTTAAGTTGTTATATTATAATATGAATATGTTATATATGTTATTTGTGTTTGGTAGTAAAAAAACAAGGTTTAATATGATGATGTAAGTTGTAAATGAGGTTTTGAAAGAGGAAATTTGACGAACAATGGGATGAATTTACAATGATTGTTTCAATTTTGATTATAAAATTATTTCGTGCAGATTAATATTTAATTGATATATTCTTATATATCTCTTTTATTCGGATTTTTTTTGATTCATTTTAATTCATCTGATTCACACTTGATTCTTTTTTGATTCTTTAATTAATTGTTTTTTTTTTTTGTTAAATAAAAGAACAATGGTTTCAATAAATTCATTCCACTTGAAAATTATTGCGATAGGTAATGTTTGGACAATAATTGCAGGAAAAAAAAAAAAAGTACACTTTGATGCAATATGTGTTCGGTATTATTATTATTTTTATGAAAAGTATCTTTTTATAAACATTTATTTGCATCTGATAACTATGAACTTGCATTTTATATTGTGTATCGAGAGAAAAGAAAGTAAAAGATATAATGAATGATTTTTAGTAAATAAAAATAAAAATAAAAATATATACAACATAATTTTTACTTTTTTAAATGAATTTTAATTTGATTAAAACAATAACGATTATTATATATATATGATTAACTTCAAAAAATACTAAATACATGATAACCTAATTTTTCGTTAAATGCGAACTGAGTAAGGACCGAGTTAATTCTAATGTCGAATAATGTAATTAGCTTTACATTACTATATATAGGTTAGACTTGCTTTCGTTCAATTTACGCGTCATCGAGTTTTTTGGGGTGCGATAATTTTTATGGGGTGGCAAATCTTTTAAACGACCCCATTTTTATTACGTAAGTGAAAAATGTCGTAACTGTCGTAACTGTCGTAACTGTCAGAATGTGGTAAATATAATAAATAATAAATGATGATGATATAAACAATATAATTAATATAATGATTGAATATAATGATAAAGTTTGCCAATTGAAATGACCACAAGCGGTAATTCACACAAATTCATATTGTTGGCGATTATGTAAAATTTTTATTTGTTGATGATTATCTCAATAGTGTATGTGAATGCATTGTGTTATGATGTGTGCGAACGTACATCGTATTCCGTATTATTGTAATTTTATTCATTTAGTTTTTATTTTTTATCTTAATCTTTAGCTTAAGGGGTAATTTTTTTATAAGTTTGTTAAGTTTCTTTCAATATTGACTACATTAAACTACATTAACTAGATTAAATACATTAAACTACATTAACTACATTAAACTACATTAAACTACATTAAACTAAATTAAGCTACTTTACCATATTAAATTACATTAACTGGATTAAACGACATTAACTATATTAATTTCATCGACTACATAAATCTCAAAAAGATTTCGTATTATTATATTATTATATCACTATATTGTTATAATAATATTTTATTATTTAAAAATAATATTAATTTTTACCGTTTTATACTTGATTCTATTATATTTATTATATTTATTATACTGATTTCTGATATCCTGTTTTTTTCTTTTTAATTTTATCACAAAGAATTATAAATTTTAAATCAATTTACGATTTCAACTCAATTCACGTGATCTCAACGAACGATTTTTAATTCTCTCGAAAGAAAATGCGCATTTCCTTTTTGATATAAAAGTTCATTAATTTTTTTTTCTTTTGAATTCGAAAAATAATTTTTTCTCGTTCATTTCACGACTCACGTGTGTGTCAATAATCTGTTTATTTAATAGTAGATTAATTTAATTATAGGTAATAGTTTTAGCTTTATAAATAAGTTTAATTTAATATGTAATATTTAACTTTAGAAATTATTAATGAAATGATAATGATAAAAAAAATTTCCGGTAATAAAATAAAAGATGAAAATAAATAATAAAATAATAAAAAATTAATAAAATAATAAAAATTAATAAAATAATAAAAATAATAAAGTAATAAAATTATAAAATAATAAAATTATAAAATAATAAAATAATATAATAATAAAATAATATAATAATATAATAATATAATAATATAATAAGAGTGTAAACATAATAAATAAAAACAGAATAAAAAGAAATTATCCTAATTTTTTAATATAATCAACACGCGTTTGTTTTCCTCTTCTTGGATACTTTCTATCTTTCACACTATTCTGAGAAGATTCGTTATTATTTATAGTATCGTAATTATTTTTTTTTCGAGTAGACATTAATCTTCTTAAACTAAATGTTCTTTTGAAAAGACTATCATGTTTTTTAGTATCCTCATTATTACTATCATTATTACCATTATTATCGTTGTTGGTATTATTACTGTTATTATTATTTTTGTTATTATTAAAGTAAGCTGTTGATCCTTCCAAAAATCCATCCATGTATTTTGTACCAAGAAAAGTTGAAATATCTCTATGATTATTTTTTGAACCTTTTTCTAAATTTTGTAAATCGGGTCGAACAGTATCTAAACTTTGCCTGAATGCTAATACTGGTGCTTTAGATTTTACATTATTTCTGTGAGGTGAAATACAATCGTATGGACTTTCATGATGAATAGCTAAAAAAAATAAAATAAAAAATTAAGTGTATTGTGTTAATAAATATTAAATAAATGTATATAAATAATTTAGATAAGATACTTACATCCGATTCCAAATAAATTTCCTGTATGATCCAAAAGATCAATTTCATCAATCCTTCCCTGTCTCATCTCTTTCGTCTTTTTCGTCTGATTCATTTTTTTTGTTTGATTTGTTTGATTTGTTTGATTCGTTTGATTCGTTTGATTATTTGGTTGTAATCGATTCATAACTATAACAGCAGATTCAGATTGACTTCTTGAATGATTTGGTGAATGACTTTCCTTGATGCTAGATGTACGAATTGGTAATTGAATTGGTTTTATCTTTTTCGAATTATCATTATTATTTTCGTCATCATCATTATTTCTGTCATTATCATTGTTAGTAATGTTTGCCCCTAAATGATGAGAATTATCTTTCTGTGAGAATAATTCTTTTTGTTGAGTTCCCAACTTTTTTTGTTCTTGTTCATTTTGTACAAGTTCTTCATTATTCTTATTATTACTGTTATTGTTATTATTATTGGTTATTACCAATAAATTGGGTAAATCATATAAATTCGGTGAATTAATGGTAGTCACGGTAATAACTGACATTTTAATATAATCGAGATTTTAATACGAGATTTATTACAAGATTTAATGAGAGATCTTGTTGTTAAAGTACGAAAGGAAATAAAAAAAAAAGAAGGTTAATTAAATATCAAAAAATAAATATTTATATTTATTATATTATTACACGTTTTGGATTTTTTTCAAAAAAAATAGATATATATATACATTCATTGTAAGACCCAATAAAGTATTCTTTAAGACATTTAGTAGCACATTTGATACATTCACATTTTTTTACTATATTAAAATTATGTGAATTATGCAAATATTATTATCGTTATTGGTATCTTATTTCTTAAATAATAATAAAATTTACTAATAATAATTATTACATACTTTTTAAAAATATATTTTTTGGTCCAATAATAAAGAAACAAATAATAATAATAAATTAAATATGTCTAAGCCTTATAAATAATAAAAATAATAAAAATAAATAATGTTTGCATGATTCAATATTACCTTGGAGCTCATGTTTTTATGTTAATTCTTAAAATAAAATTTATTATATTTTTATTTAACATAAAACAAAATTATCGGATGCTTTTTTTTCGTACCGGTTTGAAATAAATAAATAACTGTATTTGTTTTAGTGTTGTTCTGGAATGGGTGGTTCCGTCTTTGTTTGGGGGAAGGGTCTAGGTTAGAAAAATGTCACTCTGTTGGTTTTTTTTTGGGGGAAGGGGGAGGGGGTAGCTGGATTCTGTGATTTCGTATTAGGATTCTTTGTGCTCGAGTGGTTAGGATTGGAATGTTTCATACGTCCGCGGGAAATTCCGGTGGTTACTTTGCGAAAGTCGTTTCCTTAATGTCTTAAATAAAAATAAAAAACCTCCGATGATTTTAAGTATATGTGATCCATCGATCTATTATTATTTCAATCAGGATATTGGTAATGAAAATGTAATAGTTAATTTCCATTAGTTCAATGAATTTCTTGTACAAAAGTTGTTAAGGAAACAGTTTACTTCAACATACAGTGTGGGACAAACGGAAATTGAAACGTGACAAAGATATCACTAAATATAAATTTGATTTACATCACAATAACACAAAATAAATATCACGTTTTCCATCAAAAAATTCCTACCATATGTCATTTTCAAATAAAAAAACGTCTAATGAAACTTTATTAGATTTATGGAATAACAGAATTCGCAATGCAAAAGAACTTCATAAGCTAACAAACATTCCACTATCCACTATTTATGATAATATCAAAAAAAAATCAAAAAAAAAATGGTATCGTGAAGCATGCTGGAGGAAACGGCCGTCCAAGAAAAATTACAGGTTTTTTTTGTCCCACACTGTACATGGTTCCCATGCATTTGTTTTAATTCTGTACAAAACACAAGGATTAACATTACCTCATTTAATTGATGAATCTATGTTTTCAAACTTATGTTTCATGGGGAATTACATAATTGATGAACAAATGTTAGTGACATTTCAATAGTGGATTTACAAAACTCATGAATTTTACGAATTTATTTTCATAGTATATCATAGTATATCCAAAACTGCAATTTCTAAAGTAAAATAATATTTAAATTTAATGCAGACTTTACTGACGTAACTATGTTAAGTCATATAAGACGTATATCATAAAATTAAATGACGTAACTAGTCGAGGATCACTTAAAAAATAAATCCGATAGAATTATAAATAATTTATCACATTTATCACAATTATTACAATTATCACAATTATCACAATTATCACAATTAACATTAATTACCCTTATTATTACAATTATTATTATAAAATAATCAAAAAAAAAAAAACCAAGTAAATTAAATGCAAGTATATATGTAAGTGTAAGTGTAAATGTAAAAAAAAAATGAAACTAAAATAATATACAAGTAAAAAAATAAAGATTTAAAAATGTTCATTCATCCAACACATCACACACAATCTCTCTCACACATACACACGCAAATTTACATATATATGACAAAATATACCAAAAAATATAACAAACAAAATATATAACAAACAAAAATATCTTAGAATTGGAAGATATTATTATAATCATTGTTATTGTTATTATTTAATTTACAATTTGTGTGACGCAATGTGACGTTTTTTTTTTTAATGGTGTATTATGTACTCTAGAATGGGAGCACCAACTTCTTTAATTTCAGGAATTGTACATTTCAGATCGAATGCTTTGGAAAGAACAATTTTGAATATCTTTTGTACATTGATTGAGTGTGAAGTTGAACAGAATATTAAAGATGCTTTCATGGCTTTTGCAAATCGACGAGCCTATATTATATTATTATTATTATTATTATTATTATTATTATTATATATTATTATACATATTTATAATTAATATTATATATGATAGATTAAAAAGGATTTCTTACCTGTTTTGTGATTTCCTCTTGTTCTTCCTTTGAAGAATTAGCAAATTGATCATATTTTGTTCCAATGAGAAATGGAATTGCTGTCTATATTACATAAACATTAGAAATAAATCATACATTAATTATATATTGATTAGATATTGATTAGATATTAATTTAGATATTAATTAGATATTGATTGACATACTTTATTAAATCCTCTCGCTTGACGATACCATTCTTTAACACTATTTAATGTAGATTTTCGTGATAAATCGAACATGAAAAGGATAGCGACCGCATCATTACATACTAATGGTAACATATTCACAAATTCTCTTTGACCTATTAATTATTATCATATCATTATTAGATATTAGATATTTATTACATATTATTACAGATATTAATTATATTATTATTATTATTATTATTATTATCTATATTATTTTTTTTAAACATTACCTCCAAGATCCCATATGCTAAACGTTATTTCCGTATTTCTTATAGAAATGGTTTTTTCCATAAAATTCACACCTAATATATATATATATATATATATTTTTAAATTAAAATCAAATTAAATGAAATGAAATTTAAATTAAATTAACATTAATTAATAAAAAAAAAATTTTTTTTTAAAATAAATCAATTAAATGAAAATAATCTAATCTTTAAATATACCTAATGTTTGAATATAATCTTCATCAAATGAACCTTCAACATATTTAACCATTAAACTGGTTTTTCCTATTTGAGAATCTCCAACCATTCCAACTTTAACTACGACACTATAGTAATAATAGTGATAATAATAATAATAATAATAATAATAATAGTAAGTATACTTTAAAAACAATGTAAAATAGTAAAGAGTGGAGTGGAGTTAGTAAATAATTAAAGTAAACTGTTAGTGAGAACAAACCTATTTCTTTTTGCTTCACCACTGTTTTCCATGATTATTATAATAAAAGTGTTTCGTTTTTTTTTGTCAAAAAAATTTAAAACTAATAAACAAAAAATAATAATAATAAATTTTTTTTTTTAAAAAAAAAAAAAAAAAAAATCAAAGAGGTTCAAAAATTGAAAAAACAGAAAAATTCAAAGATTTTATATAAAAAATATCGAGCCTCCCTTAACGTAGCACAGATGACGGAAATTTTACTTTTTAAATTTTACAATATTTATTTAATTATTTATTTATTTATATTAACTACATATTTAATTTAGGAAATATTTTTTTATTATTGATGAAAGAAGAATATTATTATTTATTTATTCGATGGAATATATTATTTACGGAATGGATGTGTGGGATGTACGACGAACTTATTATATGTGTGTATGTGTATTTGTATACAATATATATATTATAGATATAGATAGAATATCTATAGGGGTGTTCTCGTTTTTGGTGATTTCTACTTTTTTTATTTTTTTCCTTTATTTATATATATATATTAAGGGGGTTTAATTCTGTGATTTTTTTTACCTGTTCTTTTATTACAATTATTATTATTATTACAATTATTATTATTTCATTTCATTAATTTTTTTTAATTAATTTTTAAATTTTTGATAGAAATAATTTAATTTATTTTTGATTATATAATTATTAATTACTACTTTCATTATCATTTATGATGTAATTTATTATATAATTTTTGGTAATAATAATAATATTCCATTTATTTTTTTAAATAGAAATAAAAAATGTGATCAATTTTGATATATAAATATATACATAATGTGAATATTATATAAATATATACATAATGTGAATATATATATGTATATATAATGTAAATTTATGTGATCTAGAATGATGAATGAAATTAATAAATGATTTTTTTGATTTTTTATTAATGACTGTTATTAATGAATGGTTTTATTAATAAAAAATTATTATTAATAAATCATTCTTTGTAAATTAAAACACTAATAAATGAATTTTTCGTGGGAATATCCGTTGGTCGTTTAGTTGTAGACGAGTGAGTATTACTATGTACTATGTACTTTGTGTTTATATGCGTGGTCGAGACACTTTACTATAAAAAATAATTTATGATAGATTTAAAGTTGGATTCTTTTTTTTTTTTACCCCTTTACCATACCATCATACCATAGTATGGTAACCATACATCAAACTTTATTTTAAAAAAAACTTTAAATCAAAAAACTTTATCAAAAAACTTTATCAAACCACTAGATTGGTAAAATCATAGTCTATAAATAATCTACAAATCACCTATAAATAATTTTTAACATACATTTATAACGACGTGCATTTTTTATTACCAAATCATATATATATTTATATATATTAATTATATTTTTGTCAATTTTGGCTAGTAGTTGAATTTTTTTCCACCATCAAATTTAAAGATAATTTTTGAACGATGAAATCAATAATCGTTATTACTTCCGCCATTGCACCAATACCTAATTTACTCACGCAAGTAAAAATAAAGAAATAAAAATAAAGAAATAAAAATAAAGAAATAAAAATAATAAAATAAAATAAGGAAATAAAAATAAGGAAATAAAAAAAAATAAGGAAAAAAAATAATAAAATAAAAATAAGGAAAAATACCTGTATCTCCACAAGCCAATTTCTTACTCACGGGAGAAATAATTTGAAATCCTAATTGATCTGATAACACGCGTAAATGTTTTGACGTAAAAGGATGTTCCCACATATAAGTGTTCATTGCTGGACAAACAATTACTGGACGTTTCAAATCCCATGCTCTTAAAATACACGTCTATTAATTTTATTTTTATCGATTTTATTTATTTAATTTTTCTTATTATTAATTAATATTTATTTAAAATTTTTTATTATTATTAAATTTTTATTATTAAATTTTTATTAAATTTTCTATTTTGTTAAAATTTTATAAATTAAAAAAAAAAAAGAGGATTTTTTACTAACGATTAGATTATCACATAATCCATTAGCAATTTTCCCCAAAGTGTTGGCATCCAATGGAGCAATTATAAAAATATCTGCCCAATTTCGATACTTTTAATTAAAAAATATAATATATTTTTAATACATTTATATCTATTTTTCTGAATTAAAAAGAAAAATAATAAAAATACCTCAATATGTAAAACCGGATCTAGTATTTTATTCCAAGCCTATAATTAAATAATAATAATAATCAAATAATAAATTTTATAATAATAATAAATAATAATTTAAAAAAAAAAAATTTTTTTTTTTAACCTTCCATTCATCTTCATCTGTTATAACTTCAACACCTAATTCTTTAGTTACAATATTTTTATCAAAAAAATGTAGAGCATTATTTGTTGTTACTACTTTAATTTCAATGTTTTCGTACTAATTAAAGAAATAATAATAAAATTTTAATATTCTTATATAATATAATGAAAATATCAAATTCTATTAAATATTTTTTACTTTTAATAAAGACCCTAAAAGGGTTGGTATCTTAATGCTGGCAACACTTCCAGTAGCTCCAATAAGAATATGTATTTTCTTGGACATTTTTTTTTTTTTAATATATCTCCTTACAAAAAAAAAAAAAAAAAAGATAAAAAAAACTGATAAACAGTGATATTATTTGTTGATTGATGCTTGATTATGCTTGATTGATGCTTGTACAAAAAAAAAATGTACATACATATATATATATATATAAAGATTAAAAAAAAAGGAAATAAGTTCTTTGCTATTTGATTTTTCTCAAAGAATAATAAAATAAAAATAAAAATCTTACTTGTAAATTTGTAAAAAATGTCTGATGAACATGATGAACGTACTTATATCATGGTGAAGGTATATATATATTGCAAATTATTTGATATTATATGTGTATCGAAGATGATAAACTTTGAACTAAAATTTCTTTTTTTTTTTTAAAAAAAAAAAAAAGCCCGACGGTGTCGAGCGTGGTTTGGTTGGAGAGATTATCAAACGCTTTGAAAATAAAGGTTATCAACTTGTAGCCATTCAACAGTTCAAAGTAAATTATTTAAATTAATTAATTAATTAATTTGAATTTTGAAATTTTTGAATTTTGAATTAATAATTTTAAAATTATTTAATGATTTTTTTTAAAGACCGACAGGGAAATTTTGAATAAACATTATGCAGATTTGAAAACAAAACCTTTCTTCCCAAAACTTATTGATTGTAAGCATTATAAATTTATAAATTTATTAATTTATTTATTTTGTAATAATAATAATGTAATTAAATGTGAACAATTTTACCATAAATGATTAATTATAAGATATGTTATCCGGACCTGTTGTTGGTATGGTCTGGCAAGGTAAAAAGGTCGTTGAAACCGGACGTAAACTTTTGGGTGAAACTGATCCTCTCAAATCTGCTCCCGGTACTATTCGTGGTGATTTTTGTATCGATCGTAAGTATTCCCATGTATTTATATTTCCATGATATAAATATAAATTTGATGTTAATTGATATTAATTTAATATATCTTCTGTCACCCTTTACTTTACTTTACTTTACTTTACTTTACTTTACTTACTTTACTTTACTTTATTTTACTTACTTTACTTTTACTATAATAATTAATCATTATTACAAAGTTGGACATAATATCTGTCACGGGTAAGTACATCCATTTTTTTTCATTTTCGTTGTGTGATTTAATTATTATTTATCTTATTTATTTGTATTTATTATTATTGTCTTTATTTAGTTCCGATTCGGTTGATAGTGCTAATAATGAGATAAACCTTTGGTTCCCTAATGGTGTTGTGTCATGGAAACGTAAATGTTTGCATAATTTGATTTACGAATGAATGAATTTTTAAATGAATATAATTTGTAATATAATAAATGAAATATATACAATTTTATAATATTTAAAAATCTTTTGATGAAAAAATAAAAACATCTTATTCATTTAATTATACTATTCAAACTGATGATGAAATCAATCAATCAATCAATCAATCAAATGAGAGGCATTAAATCAAATATTAAGAGTTGAAACATTGGAAAATTTATTATTTAATGAATCATATCACATTTATTTGATAGCTGATTTTTTAAAAATTAATGTTTTGCACATTGATAATCGCGTAATAAACTTAATAACACGATCTGCGGGACATCAAAAAAAAAAAACTTTTCATTTTATATTTTTCAGTAAATCAAATTCACGTCAAAAAAAAAAAAAACTACGATTAATATAATTAAATATGAATTGAAATTGGCAAGAGGTTATAGAAAAAAAGAGAATGTGAGTAAAAAGAACAATAGTCTAAGAAATAAAATGATGTAAAATTAATAATGATATTTTATTGATATTATATTGATATTTTATTTCAAAATTAATATATTAGAAATAAAAATAAAATTCATACATCCATTAATATTATTAATAGTTGATATTAACTAGAACATTTCTCTCTTATTCTTTATCCACATCAATTTTGCATTTCCTTTATTCTCTATTAAACGTCTCTATGAATCACTTCTGAAACCTTGATAAGAAAAGAAACTTGTAATCAATAATTACTTCAAAATCAATTTAGAGTAAAATATTCTAATTATGATAATTACTTTTGTATAAAGTGAAAAATCTAATTCACAATCTGTTAAAAAGTCTCGTTAGAATTTTGTCAAAACAATTAACAATCCAGAAAATCAGCAACCACCACCAATTCTAAAGCCAAGGCAGGATCAATATTATGTGGCGGTATTTCAGTCGTTGAATTAGTATAACGATGTTTGTAATATAAGTATTGGCAAACTTTCTCTAATAAAACGGCACTAAATGAAGTAAATGAAGTAAATGAAGTAAATGAAGAAAGTGAATAAAAGAATCTAAAAGAACAAAGATATCAAAAAAATACAATAATACCAATAAATTAATAAATTCTTACTTGATATCACGAAAATGAATTTGATTAAGCTTTGATTCTATGAATTGTCCTATTGACAAATAATTATAATTTAATATATCATAATAATATTAATCTTTATTCATTAAAAGAACTCACCGCTCGATAACATATTACGAATAGTCCCTGAAATGATTGCTGCATTCCTTAAAATTATAAACTCAAACCCGTCCGAACTTATGAGCTTTACGTAATCCGCAGGAGAATACTTTTCCTTTTTCTTTGACATGGTAAAAAATGAAAAGTGAAAAACGTAAATATTAAAAAACAAATTGATAATGAAAATCTTTACCAATTATAGAATATAGAAAGTCGAATAGTGATTAATTGATTGGTCTCGGTGAAATTCTCCATAAATGCAACAAATAACTTTAACATCCCAAAAAATTTTCGAAAATTTGTCAAAATGAGTGGACGCTCTCAATCAAGCCAGGATTTTAACGATAGTCGAGTTCCCCCGCAACGTCGATATACTGAACAAGGGTACGAAGACTATGGTAAAGTTTCTCACAGGTCAGACGTAGACGTTGACGATGCAATAGCACGTATGGGAAACATGAGGATTAAAGAAGATGGTCAAATACGTTCAAACTCAGCACCAATATCTCCTAGGTTGAGAACTCCTGCAGTTATTCCACAGAGATCTACTTCGCCTCGACCTCGTCCAAATCAAGAGCAAGTTCCTCCCCCTCCACAATATTCACATCAAGTTCCTTCTTCACAATACCCACAATATCAAGAACAGTTTCTTCCTCCCTCACAATATCAACAATATCAAGAGCAGACTCCCTTACAATATTCACAATATCAAGAACGGCCCTCACAATATTCACAATATCAAGGACAGGTTCATTCTCCTCCTTCACAATATCTGCAACATCCACAACATACACAATACCAAGAACGAGTTCTTCCTCACTCATATCATCCACAGACACCTCCTCCTTCACAATATTCACAATATTCAAAACACCCACAGCAACAAGAGCCAATGCAACATCCGCAGCATCAAGAATCGAAGTCACCTCCTCCTTCACAATTTTCACAATATTCAAAACACCCACAGCAACAAGAGCCAATGCAACATCCGCAGCATCTAGAATCGAAATCACCTCCTCCACAACATCCACAGCAACGAGATTCGATTCCTTCGCAACATTCACAGAATTCACAGCAACAAGAATCAATTCCTCCTCCTTCAGAAAATCCACTGCAACAATCAATGTTGCCTCCTTCACAACACCCACAACATCCGCAACATCAAGAATCAATGCGTCCTTCTAGTCAAGAAACAATGCCTCCTCCTTCACAACATCCACAACATCCACAACATCCACAGCACCCACAACATCTACAACACCCACAGCACCCACAATATTCACAACACCCACAACATTCACAACACCCACAACATTCACAACACCCACAACATCCACAACACCCACAACATCCACAACATCCACAGCATCAAGAATCAATGCCTCCTTCTAGTCAAGAATCAATGCCTCCTTCTTCACAACAACCACAACGTCAAGAATTAATGCCTCCTCCTTTACAACATCCACAACGTCAAGGATCATTGCCGCCTCCTTCACAACATCCACAACGTCAAGAATCTATACCTCCTCCTTTGCAACATCCACAACGTCAAGATTCAATGTCTCCTCCCTCGCAACATCCACAACGTCAAGAATCAATGCCTCCTCCGCAATATTTACAGAATCAAGAAGAAGGTCAAAATTTTGACCATCAAGATGGTGGTTATTATAATTATCCTCCTCAAGGTGAAATAAATATTGACCAACAACAACAACAACATTATTATAATCAATATGATGCTCAAGGTTATTATGTTCCCGAACAACAACAATTCGATCCAGCAAATGGATATCCGGAAGATGCTTACGGTTATCCACCTCAACAGTACGATTATGATCAAGGACCTCAAGGATCTTATGATTATCAACAAAGTGGGTACGTTTATAATCAATATCCACAAGAATATCCACCGAGTGAAGGATATTATGGGGGTGAAATTCCACCACAGGAGTATTATCATGAACAACAACCATACTATGATTCATATCCACCAGAAGGAGGATATCCGCAGGATGAATATGGAGTCCAAACATATTATGGTCAACAACCACCACCACCACTACAATCACAACAAATGGGTCAACCGCAGAGAGTATATTCGGAAAGTGGAAATACGCAGAGTAACAGAACGTCATCTTCTAAAGGACCAAAACATTCATATACATCAGAGGAAATAGATAGATATCGTCAAAAGGTTAAAACTAGTGGAGATCCTGCTAGTTTGTTAGCCTTTGGTAAATATTTAATCGATGCTGCTGCCTCGGCAGATGAAAATGAACCTGACCCAAAAAATGCCAAAAGGAAAAGAGATATGTTATTACAAGAGGCAATTAAATTAATAAAACGATTAGCTACTCAAGGATTGGGTTTTGGTAAACCTGCTTATCCGGAAGCACAATTTTATTTGGCGAATTGTTATGGTAGTGGCGCATTGGGATTACCTATGGATAAAGATAAAGCATTTAGTTTATACATGCAAGCCTCAAAACAAAATCATCCAGCTGCAACATATCGAACTGCAGTATGTTATGAATTAGCATCAGGAACTAAACGAGATCCACATCGTTCTGCACAATTTTATAGAAAAGCAGCTGCGTTGGGTGACACTGCCGCAATGTATAAACTTGGAATGATAATGTTAACTGAGGAAAATAAAAATCCTCGGGAAGCTATTATATGGCTTAAACGTGCAGCCGCTAATGCAGATGAAGAAAATCCACACGCATTACATGAATTAGGATTATTACATGCTAAACCCGAGAAAGAACCACCTGAAATTCCTTCATTAATTAGAAGTGAGAAACATGCTATCGAAGATTTTAAGAGGGCAGCAGAATTAGGGTATGCACCTTCTTGTTTCAAATTGGGAGTTTGTTATGAATATGGACAATTGGGATGTCCTGTTGATCCACGTCAATCCATCAAATATTATTCAAAAGCCGCTGAAAAAGGGGATTGTAATGCGGAGTTGGCATTGTCCGGTTGGTATTTGACAGGTTCGGAAGGTATATTGAGACAATCCGATACAGAAGCATATTTATGGGCATGTAAAGCAGCGGATAAAGGTTTAGCAAAAGCAGAATTTGCTATGGGATATTATGCAGAAGTAGGAATTGGAGTCAAACAGGATATTAATGAAGCCAGACGTTGGTACATGCGTTCTGCAGGTAAATATTTTTTTATAGATGATTATTATTATCATTTAATTTCATTATTTCTTCATTTATTCATTTAATTAATTATTTATTTCCTAAAATGTCAATTAGCACAAGGGAATAAGAGGGCAATGCTTAGATTAACAGAACTAAAGAAATTAGGTAATGCTAGTCGTGTAAAACCGACCAAACACACAAGAAATCAAGCAAACAAAGAAGATTGTATTATATCATAATAATTTTAAGTGTGAGGTGAAAAATAATATAATATTTATGATGATGATTATTTAAAATTCTTTGATTTTATTTTTACAGATTATAAAATTAATTAAATAATTTAGTTTTTTTTTTTTTTTATTATACGTTGTAATAGATTTTAGCATATTAAATTTTTTTATTTACTAGTTTTTTAAAATCCATCATTCATGCAAATATTCAAAAATTCATGTAAATTTTCTCATATTTTCTCATATTTTCTTTAATAAGTTTTGAGAAAACTTGGACAAAGAAAAACTAGATTGAACTCTTAATATTATAATCAAATTTGTGAATTTGAAATTTTTAATAACACATTGATTTAGATTGATTAGTGGGTGATTGAATAACAAATATTTAGATTAAATTAATTTCAATTTTGGAGAAATATCATTTTTTTTTATATAGACTAATTTTTTGAATTCTATTGTTTTTTAAAAAAAATTATTAAGAAACATAGATTTTTTATTTATATTGTTAATATTTTATGTCATTTTTTTTATATAAAATTTAGTTTTATTAAAAAAAGGAAATTTAGATGAAAATTTTATTGTGTGAATTGATTTTGATCTGATCTTAAAATTTTTGTATAAAAATAATTAATTCATTTGAAATTTTCATCTGAAATTATTTTTCATTTCTCTCAAAACTCTCATAACCTCAACAGGATCCTTTTGTTCAGTTGCTTTTTTCACACTATCCTCATTAACTCTCATAAATGGATTAAATTTTAATTCATCACCAATTGTACTGGGTACAGTTTGGGGATTTTTTGATACCCAATGAGATTTCTCTTTAAGAAATTTATTCTCGGGTTCAATTGTTTCAGCAAATCTAAGATTACTAGCTGTATACTCGTGACCACAATAAACTTTAGTATCCTGAGGTAAATTACCGAGGACGTTGATCAAAGAATTATGCATTTGTTCAGCGGTGCCCTCAAAAAATTTTCCACAACCACCAATGAACAATGTATCACCTTTATTTTCAAAAATATGAAAATGTATAAAGAATAAAAACTCCCAAAATAATTGATTAAAAAAAAAAAAAAAGAAAAAGAAAAAAAAAAACTCAATGATACCAGTAAAGACGGCTTTATCGTCTTTATCTTGTAAATAATAACTAACACTTCCCGATGTGTGACAAACCGTGAAGAGTGCTTTTGCTGAAATATTTCCAATTTTAAATTCTTCTCCATCTTTTACAGCATGAGTCAATGCTGGGATTCGATCATCGCTACCATAAACTATCAAACCTGGAAGTAGTGAAACCAATTTTTCATTACCTCCAGAATGATCCTATAACGAATTTATAATTTAATTTCGGGAGTAAATTCCAGAAAAATAAATAAAAATTAATATATATACATGATGATGGTGTGTTGTGATCAAGTGTTTTAAGGTTACACCCTGTTGTTTAACCACTGGAAGTATTTTCGCAGGTTCAACTGGATCAACAACAGCAGCTAAAAGAATAACAAATAAGAATAATAAGTAATAATAAATTTATTGCTACCATTTTTCAAATAATTTAAATAATGAAAATGAAAAAAAAGGTTATCTTTTACCTTCTTTTGTATCTTGGTCAATAACAAGATATGAATAGTTATCTTCCAAAACTAGATATATATATATATATATTATTAGATCAAAGTTAAGTGTTAATGCAAAAAAAAAAAAAAAAGTTGACCTGGAATAGGGATGACTTTCATGGTTCTTATGGTTCTTAAATTCAAACTGTGAAAACTGTTAATTTTTGAAAACTTCGTACAAATTGAAAAAATTTTAATCATATGATTTATGATTTGATTAAAGTTGAGTTTTCTCTTTGGGAAATCTCAACCTATTTCCAGGTTAAAAAAAATGTCCCCCATATTTTGTCAGGTGATCAGAGAATTTTCACGACAAACCCAAGGATATTTAAATAAGTGTGATGTACAATGATAAATTCACCACCATAACAGCCTGTGAGGAGGAAAGAATAAATAAAGAAGTAAAATTCCATTCCAGAATCCCACGATATGACTACTTTTATTCAGCATGATAGTCTATCCTAAGTTTCATGTGATCACGTGATAAACTTTATATATATATATATATAAGCAATATTCCATTTTTTATGACATCATAATAATTTTTTAATTGGTTTTAGCTTCATCAAAGCTTTTTGAATAGTTTGGCGTTTTTTTCCTTTTTATTTTGTTTTCGTTCAAATATTTATTAATTTCTTTAATCAGTCTCTAATGTGTCATCATACATATCGCGATAATTTAAATATCCAATAAATAATATTCGATTGTTCCATCATTATTCATGTGAAATTAAAGTATATAATTATTATTCGGAGAAAAAAATGGTTTGCTTGCTTCTTTGAAATACGTAATACTTTAATTAGTAAAGTAATAAAAAATTAAGGAGATTCGGATAAAAAAAATAAGAAAAAACAATAACTTTCATTGATCAAATTAAATTTGATAACTACATTCATTTGTTTTCAAATAAAGAAAGAAAAAAAAAAAATCAAAGCTATTTCGGCAAGTGTTGTTTTTATAAATATCTGATTGTTATTCAAACAAAAAAAGCAAAATTTCCCGATGCAAATTATCAATGACGTTTATCTACTCACATGACACCAAAGTTATTTGTTCGAATTTTTCTGGGTTCATGCAGAACATCTTTTGTGTATCCGATAAAAAATTTTGAAGGTTATTGGTACATGCAACGAAAACAAAAAGATAAAGGATTTCTTTTCTTTTTCAAACCCAAATTTCATTATTCATCTATAAATATAGAAATATGAAAATATGATAACCGGAATTTTCAGTAAAAAACACCGCGCTAACGAGAGAGGTCGCGGTAAATTATAACAAAGATAAATAATTTAGTTAAAATATTTTTATTCAATTGAAAGTTGATTCTTAAACGAGATTTCAAACAAACAAAATATTATTCGAAGATTGAATATCTTTAATGACTATTCTAATTGTGATTTCAAACAAAATTTTATTCGAGCATTGAGCATTGAATATCTTAATGACTTTATTTGATGGCTTATACTTGTGTCATAAAATTAATTGTTTTCTTGTAAATATTACTGCAAAATCACATTCAAAACAAAATGTTATTTGAGCATTGGAATATCTTTAAATGACTGTCTTTAATGAATATCTTAATGACTTTCTTTAATGGCTGTATATACTTGTGCAATTAAAGAAAGTTATACGCCATAAAATTAATTGTTTTCTTGTAAATATTGCCGCAAAATCATATTAAAACATTAAAATCTAAATTATCAATGACTTTCATAAAAGAAAAAAAAATGTATAAAAAGCATCTAATTTTTTTCTTTACGAAACAACGATTCGAAATGGCATGCCACAGTTGTCATCATTCTCATTCGAGATGTCATTTTGAGGCAAACTCGAACACTTGCGTTCGATGTCAAAATAGGCGTCAAGTATGCGAACCTTCAATAAGGTTCCGGCACCAAAATATTAACCCCAACACATTTAGAAGAGGTATACGTTATAAAAATTTCTATAAGCCTATAACATTGATCTTTATTTATTAATAATTAATTAATCAACTACAATTATTACGTCTATTTAGTTATTCGGCGACCTCGCCGAAATTTCGTTTTTATATTTGTCAATCGGCAAACCTTTTAAATTTTTCGGTATAAAAATTTCTATAAACATAACTCTTTACTTTAATTATTAATAATTAATTAATCAATTATTACGTCTATTTAGTCATTCGATTTGTGTTTATATTCGTTAATCGGAAAAAAACGTTTTAATGGTATAAAAATTTCTATAAACATATAACATTGATCTTTGCTTTAATTATTAATAATTAATTGATTAACCAATTATTACGTCTATTCAGTCGTCAATCGTTATTTTGCGTCATACTTCGTTCGTTATTTTACGTCATACTTCGTTCGTTATTTTGCGTCGTCTATTTCGTTCGTTCGTTTTAATTGAAATATATATATATATTTATTTATTTTATTGTTATTTTATTTCTCGATTTTACACGTTTTCGAATTAAGGTAGAGATTTTTTTTTCATTTGTTATAACAGAAAATAAGAAATAGTTAAATTATGATATAATAAAAAATATTTTACAGATGAATTTTATTCTGTAATTTTTATATAAGAAAAAAAAATTTTTTATTTGCTAATTTTTATTAATGAGATGAGATTGCCCAGTTCTTACGCGAATTAATAAATTAATTTCAAAATGAAAACCGTTACTCTGTTTCACATTATAGTATTTATGGTCATATCATATGATATTATAGGTAAACCCGACCCAAAAAGAAGTATGTGTCGGCTGATTTAGGCACCTTTCTGGTAAATTTCCCCCTGAAAAAAAAAAAATCCTTTGAATGTTGTGACACACCAAAGTTTATCTCCATTGACCTTTAACCCTTTAAAATTTTATCTATTTTATAATAAAGAATTAATACCATGAGTTCTAATGTAAATATCACCAACCACAAATTAGTACATTCGCCATTATTAGAAGCTAAAGTAGTAATTTTAGGAAGTCAAGGTACTTTGAGAAATCATAAAATTTTTTAACATTGCGAAATTAAAATATATAAAATAGATATAAACTTTATATTATGATCTATTTCAATCTATTATTATTTTTATTAATTTTTATATTTTTAAAATGTTCTAATAAAAAATTTTATGATAACTATGTATAGGTGTTGGGAAAACTTCATTAGTTGTACGTTATGTTCAAAAGACTTTTTCGCCAAATTGTACGTCAACAATTGGAGCTTCTTTTATGACAAAGAAACTGTGAGTCTATTGCCACGTAATATGTTCAGGTTCAGTTGGTTAACATATGGGTATAAGGTTACGTGTTGTTATACTTGACCACGAATTTTTTTTTTTTTAGTATAAATCTTTAAAAAAAGAGAGATTTATTCAATTCGAATTGTTCTAAGAATTTATTTATAATGCTACAGAAAATTAATAGTTTTTCGTGAAAATCGCGTTCCTTCAAGAATATCAGAAGGAAATTGTCGATTTATTGATTTATTTATTGATTTTACGCGTTTCTTTATATAAATTCATGATAACATTATCTTTTCATCAATAATTATTAAATATCATAAATTAATTATAAGTTGATTATAAATTGATTATAAATTGATTATAAATTGATTATAAATTGATTATAAATTTGATTACAATATACTGACATTTTATTTTTATTAGTGTTGTAGATGATTGTAAAGTGAGACTTCAAATATGGGATACAGCAGGTCAAGAACGATTTCGATCGATGGTTCGTAAAAGCGTTAACATTATTAGATTCATATATTATTTATATTATTTACTAAAAAAGTATATTTAATAAATATTATATAGGCACCCATGTATTACAGAGGGGTAATGGGATTAGATTATTTATGGTAAAAATATTTAAAATCTAATATAATTAATAATATTTTATTATAATTAATTAGGCTAATGCAGCAATTTTAGTATATGATATTACATCAGAGGAAAGTTTTTTGGATATGAATGCTTGGATTGAAGGTTTTCTTTCTTTTTTGTCTTTTTTTGTCTTCATTTGTCTTTATTTTGTCTTCATTTGTCTTCATTTGTCTTCATTTGTCTTATTTTGTCTTTTTTGTGGTTCTCTTTTATAAATTGTTAATTGGATCTATTTTTCAGAATTACGCAAAAATATGACGAAGGATCTAAGTAAATATAATTTGAACTTTTGATTTAGGACAATTTATATTTTGCATTTCATTTATTTCATTTAATGTTTAACTTCAAATTTTTCCTATACCTTATATATATATCTATTTTTAATACTCCTAGTAATACATATAGTAGGTAATAAAATCGACCTTGCTCCTATTGAACGCGCTGTACCGTTTAAAAGAACACAAGAATATGTTTCGCGTGTTTTAGGAAGCGATTATGCGGTTCATGAGGTTTCGGCTAAAGATGATAATGGTATATATATCTATCTAAATTAATCAGTCAATTTATTGAGAATCACACTTTTCATTATTTTCATAATAATTAATAATTCCAGGTATTGAAGAATTGTTTCTTCAAATCACACGTAGACTTGTTGAGCGCAAAAACGATTACGGAAGGCAAATTTTTAGACCAAATACTGTTTTAAAAAAGCCTGATGATAATGAAAGTACCTCCACGGGATGCTGTTCGTGATGAGAACTTCCCAAGGTTTTTGTGCATTTTTGATTTTCTTCACATTAATCTATCAATCTATCAATCATTCATTTCATTTCAATCATTCCTTTTTTTTTTTTTTTGGTGAAAATGTTTAACAGAAGTTTTAGTTTACCTGATTTCGGTCGGTTAGTTTAACAAACCGTAAAAACAATTATCAGGAGTTTTTCCTTTAGATAAGTATTATCTAGGAAATTTTTAAATTATTGGGTATGACTTTGATGGAATTACAAAAATCTTGTAGGACATATTTTATGACATATCATTTTGGACAATTTTTACTTAGGTTAGACATGAACTCTTATTATTGCACGATTCATATAATGTTTGTTTTGAGAGAGCACATTTTTTAGAAAAGAAAAAAAAGAAGAAAAAATCATTTATTCATTTTTATTCTTTATTATATAATATTATATTTGAATTTAAATTATTATTTTCACTTTAGTCAATTAATCTTTATTCGCTCATTTTTCATGAACAATCGATTCATGGATTTATTTGACTTTAACAAATTGTTTATTTTATTTATTTTCGGTTATTTTTTTTTTTAAATACACGTTTATTTTGGCATAGTTTACATTTAATTTAATCAATGGATTGGATTGTTTAATTTGCAAAAAAAAAAATTTGGTAAAATCAATATTGCAATCAACCTTTGACGTGTGAATTTTTTAAAAAAAAAAGCAATTAATGGATTTAAATGTCGACGACGACAGGACTTGAACCTGTGCGGGCAAAGCCCATGTGATTTCTAGTCACACTCCTTAACCACTCGGACACGTCGTCATAATTATAACGAAATTTGAATTTATAAAGTTATATTAATAATTATGATAATTAAATATATAATTTTTATAAAAATGTAACACCCATTTAGTTAAATAATTTAACTAAATAACACACGGACGTTCTAAAATAAAATTACGGGGGCGGATTTTTATAACTTCCCCTTTTTTAAATTTTCGCCCCTTTCCTCACAAATTTTTATACTGCCCGTTCTTAAAAAAAAAAGACCCTTAGAGGCACAATGAATTTTTTTCTCAAACAAAAGCAGAAAACACCGCACGATGTGGTGAGAAATGTAAAAGACGCTATTACCAGGTTGGATGGTTTGGACAAGAAGGTTGGTTTAGTAATGAAGTGATTTTATCGCTCTTTTTCTTTTGGGATAGATTGTTTAGGATAAGGTTTTTCAGTTGTTAAGAAAGGCCCACTTCAGTTTCAAGTGGGATTCTTAATGTCGTTTAGGTGAATTTTTCGTATTTGAGAAGAGTGGTTCCTGATGGTTCCTGACCTCTTCAAAACAATCTGCATAGTGATAAAGATAAGAAGAATGGTCCTCACCCAATGTCATTTCGTAGGCAAGCGAAGACATATCGAAAAATTTAACTACAATGAAGACAATTCTTTTTGGAGAAGGAGGTATGAAATAATTTCATTTTTTTTTTATTTTTATTTTTTTTATTTTTTTATCTAATTTATCAATATATCGAAAACTTGTATCGTAAAAACATATTATCATCAAAATATAAACTCAATTAACTCAATTTTATTTTTTTTAAAAAAAAATTTTTAGAGAATGATCCCGTACCGGAAATAGTCGCACAATTAGCACAAGAAGTTTACAACAATGACATTTTGCAATTACTAGTCATTAATATCGGGAGATTTGAATTCGAAGCAAGTATAGTATAATGAAGAATTTTGTACTTCTATTTGATATATTTATTTCCTTATGTATAAAAAAAAAAAATTAATAAAATTTATTATTAAATATTAATAGGCGAAGAAAGACGTGTCACAAATATTCAACAACCTTCTAAGAAGAAAAATTGGTTCGTTAACGCCAACCGTAGATTATCTAAGGAATCGAGAAGAAATTTTATTTACATTGCTCAAGGGGTTCGCTATCAAATATTCAAATATAATATTTAAATATTTAATATATTTTAATTCCTTTTGTATCTATAACATTCATTACATATTATTATTATATTTATTACATTTATAATATTTTTGTTCAGATATGAAAATCCGGAGATAGCGCTTAATTGCGGAATGATCCTGAGAGAATGCATTCGACATGAATCACTGACTAAAATCATTTTATATTCACCTCAGTTTTATAATTTTTTTGAATATGTTGAAATGAATACTTTTGATATTGCTAGCGATGCATTTGCAACATTTAAGGTAATATTATATTATTTAATAATATTTTTAATAATTTTAATAATAATTTTAGTAATTTCATATTGTTCGTTTAATAATAATGGATTTTTTTTTTCTTTTTAACAGGAAATTTTAACACGCCATAAAACTTTGGTGGCCGAGTTTTTGGATACCAATTATGATAAAGTATTGCATTTTAAATTTGTATTATCGTTTGATTTCTATATGTAAAGTGAAGGTTATAATAATTACTGTGCTTCTTTGAAAATTTTTAGTTTTTTGAGTCTTATACTGATTTATTAGAGTCAAATAATTATGTAACTAAACGACAATCTCTAAAGGTAAGCCTTTTATATTGTTTATATATATATATATATATTATTTTTAATTTATATATTGAAATATTTTACTTTCTGATTAGTTACTTGGTGAAATTTTGCTGGACCGTTCTAATTTCACCGTAATGACAAAATACATCGAAAAAGCAGATAATTTGAAATTGATGATGAATTTACTTAGAGATAAAAGTCGAAACATTCAATTTGAAGCTTTTCACGTGTTTAAGGTATTATAAGTTTCAAATCGTAATTTTGCTTCATTATTCTTTCATTATTTTCATTATTCAAATATTCTAAATTTTATGAATAAAACAGATATTTGTAGCAAATCCCAACAAAAACAAACCAGTATTGGATATTTTGAATAAAAATAAGGATAGACTAATTCAATTTTTGAAAAATTTTCATAATGAACGACACGGTTAGTTTTTGTTCTTCATCTTTTTTTTTTTTTCTTTTCTTTTCCTTACATTATTTTTAAATTTTTATACTTTTTTTTTTTTTTTTTATACTGGAAAAAGATGATGAACAATTCAATACCGAGAAGACTTTTTTGCTGAAACAGATTGAAGAACTAAAATATTAAATTATTTATTATATCGAGAATTGAATCAATTAAAGAATTTAAAGGTGAAGAATTAATAATTAGATAGTTTTCAATAGATCCTTTGTTTCATCTATAATATATAAGTATATATAGGAGATAATGCAATTGGTTTCCGGGATATCTGTTTATATCAAACGGATTATCTGCGGACTCCATTACGGATACGGATTGTTATCCATAAAAATCCGGACATTCTCATTAATAGGGAATGTATAATATATTTATTCCAAAAATTTAGTAAATTTAACAAATAAAAAAAAATTTTTTTTCTTATATAAAAATTACAGAAAAAATTCATCTTAATTCTAAAAGTAACCAAATAATAAATAGTTATTGGGTGCGAAATATCCAATAACTGCTGTATTTGGTACAATAATATTGATTAAGTAGTAATCAGCTGATTTACTATTTAATCAGTATCAAGTAAGGACATATCTGGATGTGAAATTTAATGTGTTAAGCCAGAAGTCAATATATTAAATTTTACAGCCAGATATGGAAGTTATTAGTACAACGCAAAATAACGGATTTGTCCGGTAATTAATTAAACTTCATAAACTTTTTAATTACGTAAGATAGATATTTTGGGGGGGGGGTTTTTTTTATTTAGTAATTGCCTTTTTAGTTTTATATAAACATATACTTTGACTTTTTTTTTTATTATGATAAAAACAAAATGTTTTCCGTAACCAAAAAAAAAAATAATAATAATATAAACCAACAAATGATGACAATAATTATTAGCACTATTCCTGAAAACACAACTAAGTGGTCTGCATTTTAGAAAATTGGCGTAACGAAGTTGGACATAACTATGGAATTAAGACAATCATAAATAAAGAACAGTTTTGAAAAGGAAATGATAGAGTTTATCTTGGGAATTCGTCAAATCAACACACAGGAAGAATATATGCACCATCGTCTCTTTATTAATTTATTAAGCATATATCTTTTACAGTACAAGAATGATTTTAGACATTTATGGGAGGCATTAAATGGAAAAATGATACTTAAAAAAATGTGAAAATTAATTGTCACCATGATAATTTAACAGATGAAGAATTACATCATATATTTCAACAATGCTATTTCTATTGAATCACCTCAAGGATTACAGCTATTTATTGTTTTAACCACGTGGCAGTGAACATTATATATTAACTACATCATAGTTTACTTTTATGACAGATGAAAGTCTTCAATTTACCAAATTTTCGCAAAAAAATGATAAAGGTGACATAGATGGAACTTGGATGCTCTTGTAATTCCTGTACCACCAGATCCAGAGGCCTATTCATAATATTAAATATTATTTTTCTAAACGCCCTAAAGATTACAAATGTGAATTTTTTCGTTTACAAATTAATAAAAAACAAAAAGGTATTTAAATATGTAAATTTTTATTTATTTTTATAAATTTTATAATCATTCAGGTCGCTCAATGTCAATCACAGTGAATCCTTATATAGGAATCATCATTAAAGAAAATATCTTAAGCCTTTCTGTTAACCTATGGATTCTACAAGAAATCTTCCGTTACATTCCAATACATATAGACCTAACCTTACTCTTGGTGGCTGCCAACTTATTCAAAAAAAACTAATATGGAAATAAAGTATTTAAATGCGATGAATGAGGCCTTAATTATGTAAGCAATTACGTAGTTGATCAATTCCAATGAAACAAACGAAAATGTAGAATTTTAATTATATTTTGTGTATAAATTTCCTCTTTCCATTTATTTTATTTATATTCAATATTATTTATTATATCGAATGTTTGTTACCAAAATTTTATCATCAAATTTGTATTAATTGGTATCAAATTTACTTAATCACAATGTTAATGCTTTTATGTAGAAAATAAAATTCCATTCCAAGTTCTATTTTATTCCTTCTTTTCATATGTACAGTGTTAATACATCATTGTACAATATTGGATTTTTTTCAAATCAACGTTTCAACAAAAAAAAAAAAAAAAAAAAAGATTATGCATAATTTTTTCCATCAAAAAAAAAAAATCTTTCCGGATCAATAAAATAAGTTTGTAAATATAAATTTTCTCACCTACCTTTACCATCACTTTAATTATTTATTTTGCATAAATTTTGAAATTCCTTACTCGATTTCATCTATCATATTCAACATTTTTTGTGTAGTATCTGGATTAATATAATATGATGAAATAGATTTTTCTTGGTCTGTCTTAGGGTGTATAGATTTTTCGTCCGTATCCTATAATTAAGTCAATCATGTGATAACAATTAGGAATAATTTTTAAACTTTGAGGTAACCAAAAATCACGTACTATATCCATTTTAACATAATCCATATTTTTCCAAGCATTTTTCACATTTTGCAATATTGATTTAAATTCAGAACAACGTTTATTAATTTCATTCGTGGCTTTTTTTCGTTGTTCAATCTGATCTTTAATTATTAAAGTCAAAGTTTCTCTCGCCTATAATATTAAAAATTAATTAAATAAATAAATAATCTAAATTTAAATTATCTTTAAATATTATTTTTAAATATTACTTGATGAGGGCGATATTCATTTAACAAATATTTCATATTCAAAATTATATGTTTTATTTGTTCTATTTTTTCTGGTGCCTTGAAATTATAAAAAAAAAAAAATAATAATTAAAATTAAATTAAAAAGAATAATTAATAATAAATTAAATGAAATTAAAAAATTAATATTACTTGATCGGGATCTTTTACTAATGTATCGAGTAATTCGACAAAATTGAAAACAGCCGAGTTATTCAATTTCTTTAAATAAACTGCGCGATCTAATATAAAAAAGAATTAGATTTGGAATAAAAATTTGCACTAGAAATCAAAAAAAAAAAAATTTATAATAAAGAAATCTACTTACTTATTTTTCCCGGGGGAAATAATTGTGGTACTCCATTTTCTTCTAAAGTAGCATTCCTATCGACTACCTATAAATTTTTTGACGCGTGTATAGACATGTTAAAACCTAAGTATTTTTAAAAATTAATATCCCAAATAATTTTTTTTTTTTTTTTGTAAAAGGAGATACCTGCCAAAATTCCCCAAAGAAGGAATAAACTCCCTCAGTTAATGGTGGAGGGGGTTCCAAATCCAATATATTAAAATCTGTTGGCAAGGCTACATTCTCGTGTATTATGGCTTCAATTCCTTTCTCTTTAACTTGTTTAAACTTTGCAAGGTTCTCATCGGTGTATCGTTTATAAATTTCGGGTGGTGGCGGGTACGATGAACCAATGTTTTGAGTAGTCATTTTGTTTAGAAATTATTTTTCTTGGCAAATATAAAGGGTATACAGATAAACTGTACGGTACGAAACGCTATTTTGTACTGTACGAATAGTGGCTTGTACGGTCGATTAACTTATATCACGTGATTTTTTTCATACATACCACGAAACGATCAGCTATCAATCTATATTACCAAGAAAAATGATTTTTTTAATAAAAAATTTTTTTAAAGACGTGTTTTATTTAGAGCAAAAATGGAAGAAAACTATACACTCTTCAATGAAGAACGTGAAGAACTTATAGAAGAGGTAAGTTTAAATATAGAATATTTTAAATATTTTTACATGCATTTAAATACTTTTTAATATTTTTTTTGAGTTTTTAACCTGTTTCACAATGATAAACCCTGATAATATGCATTTTTTTAAAAAAATTTTTATATTATTTTTATTTTTTTTATATTATCATTATATTATAATAAATATAAATTAATTTTTAAATTTTAATTTTATATTATAATAAATAAATTTTTATTTTTATTTA